GCACTCTCTAGCTGAGCAGCATATTCCCCTTGAAGGGGCATCTGGATGGCTCACATGCGTATTATATTTTAAAATCTTAGTGAACCTCGAGTTCACTAAGTTTAACAGAGATTCTAGGAGCATGTTTATGGCATGAGAAAATTGAAAATTTGATTCTGATTTTACAAATATGTTATGACTGCTATTTCATGGTATAGGCTGTTTTGAAATCTTCTGAAGATAATTTGGCCTGGAGTTATGTACATTTATAATATTGTTTATGTTTTATTATTTATGTTTACTACAGACTTAGAGTTTCTTAAGTAGTTTATATGATGCTCATAATGGCCTCATATAAAAGCAATTTTTTATGTTTGTTTGTTTGACATACTCTGTTTTTCTAAAATTTTGAGTGTGGTATATTCATTTTGAGAATTATTTTGTCTTTGGCCATTGTTCTCCCATATCTGCTACATATTATGAAAACTTCATAAAAGACTAATTCTTTTCTTTTGAAATTTGATTCAGAATTGAGAATCATCTTAGTCTTTGTTTAATTTCTTAAGTTTTAACATTGTCACAGATATTCTAAGATTTTATATTCCCGCCTTGTTGAGTTTCTGCCTTTTTGCTAGCCAGAAAACAATGCAGTACCTAAAACAGATGATTACCAATTTGGGTACCTATTAAAAAGACATAGTAGTGCAATACTAATTCTTTTAAAACACTTTTATTTGATATCTCTTAACTTTTGGCCCTTTTTACAGTTGCTTGTTTTACCGAAGTATTGGGAGAGATGATGATAAGTAATTTGTATCAGTCTTAATTCTGAATAGCAAACCAAATATACCAAGACAGTTTTGGTTGACAAGTTTAGTCTGTAGATACCTGTGTCCAGTTTGCCCAAACTTCAAATTGTAATACTTCCTAATAACAGAAATTAGTACATAAGAGTAGGTATGAATCTTTTGCAGAATGAAGAAACTGGAATTATTTTTCTAGTGAAGTTGTTTTGTTTGACTGTGTCAACATGCTAGAATAGAAGAAACTCATTCATAATTAGGAGTCAGAAGACCTGAGTTAGAATCTCAGCCATCCCTTCACATCTGAGATGCCTGAACGAGGCACACTTAGCTTTTCAAAGCCCAGAAATGCAGGTGTGTTAATTCTGCCTACCCCTGCCAGTTGTGGCAATGACCTAATAAGATAATGAATAAGAATAGAACTGGTCATCTTGTGACCAGTGTATACATTTATGAGATAGTTGGAAGAGTGTTTTTCCTTGGGCAAATGAAGGTGGAACCCACATATGTGATCTTTGTTCAAGCATGCATTTCAATAAGACTTGAAAGGAATGTAAAGGAATGTAAATATAATGAAATGAATGTAAATATAATTTATTTATGTCAAAAAATTAAGTTCTATTGTAATTATTTTCAATATAGTCGTGGAAACCCAAGTTAACTCAACAGATATTTATTGTGAGACTTTATAATTTGTGCATAGAGTGCATCCAAGTGATGCATATTAAAAGGTTTTCATTTCTGTGAATTGATTGATTTTGTTATTCTGTGGGTTTGAGCACAAATTAATTGGAATCTAGTTATTTCAGATTTTATGTGGATTACTAATGTTTTTAAAGGGATTTATAGTTTATAAAATGCTTCATATACATTTTTTCATGTAATCTTCATAATAGTCCTGCAAAGGTAACTGCTCTTATTTTCATGATTTTTCCCATTACTTAGGTTAGAGAAGTTGTAATATCCTCAAGGTCACTTATCTACTAGGTGGTGGAACTGAAATTAAAACCTAGATTTCTCATTCCAAATCTATGTCGTGTTGCTTGTAAAACTAAGGATTTATTTTAGATATACTTGGATTGGAACCGGGTATTCTTAGTCTCAGGAACAAAGAGGTTTGGCTCTGAAACTTTGATCCAAACACAATTTTGCATTTGTCATAAAAGCCACCATTTTCTACACACCAGGGGCCCATATTACCCTGGGCTTTGTCTTGTGTCTGTTCAACCTGATGTCTTCATTCTTCAGCTTCTTTCTCAGTACCCACACAACAATGTTTTTCTCACTGTAGCCTCAGAATAATGCTGTCCAGCATTATTATGAACTAATCTTTGCTGATGAGCAACTGGTGAATATTTTAACTGTAATTTGGGTGGGTCTTTTGGTTCCTTATAAATCCCTTGTACCAATTCTATTTACTATAATTTCAGTTGCATAGGCTATTTTCAACTTGATTTAAAGAGTCTCACTTAGTGAGCATAGAATCTTTAGGGCCAGACTGGAACCAAACCAGTCCTGGGAACCTTAGAAAATTAATCCAGTTGTATGTGTTCTGTGATATATTTTGTACCTTCATCAATGCATTCAGAATATGAGGTGAAAAGGGCTTCTGTTGCAAAATCACCTATATTTAGTTTGTATTTAATACCTGACTAAAAATAAACAAATGTAGAAAAATAAGGCTTCTGTGTATCTTTCTGTACATTTTATAAGTGCATATGCTGCATTTTGAGCCAACAGGGCAAATAAGAAATATTGTATTGTTTCATATTTTCAAATGCTGACTAGATAAAGATTACACATGACAAGTTATTTATAGCTTTATACATAGTAGATTCTCTGTTGGAATCATAGAAAGGAAAAATGATAATTGCTTTGTGTGGTTCACAGAATAGAATGGCAAACTGAGATGTTTTGAATCTAGTTTGTACTGTAACCATTTCTAGGAAACCATATTTAAACAGCAGTGGTTATCACGAAGTGTACAACATGTCAACTGTGTCCCAATTCACATCAGTAAAAACCTTCCACCACTTTATTCTCTATAACCCAACCTCCATCAGATAATGCCAAATAAACTATGTCGAGTGCACATATTAATATCTATCAAATGTGCCAAACAGCTTGCTGGCTGCATTTTCAGTAGTGTTTATCTGTGGTCATGCAGGTTATAACTCTGAATTTTTATTAGGAAACACTAAATTGAGAATTTATAATGTTCTTGATTTAGCTTCACCAGCTGTGCCACAGCCAGGAAAAATAACTCAGGGGGGTAAAAATCTAACACTGTGTTAAGAGAGCAACAGACAAATCGCTTTTGCTTCATGCTTACCTGCTTTGCATCTGCTACTGTAAAGTTTAGGGTCACATGTAATTGGTGGTTTTTTTTTTTTTTTTGAGACAGAGTCTCGCTTTGTCAACCAGACCGGAGTACAGTGGTGCGATCTCGACTCACTGCAACCTCTGCCTCCCTGGTTCAAGCGATTCTCCTGCCTCAGCCTCCTGAGTAGGTGGGACTACAGGTGTGTGCCACCACACCTGGCTACTTTTTATATTTTTAGTAGAGACGGGGTTTCACCATGTTAGCCAGTTTGGTCTCCATCTCCTGACCTCATGATCTGCCCTCCTCGGCCTCCCAAAGTGCTGGGATTATAGGCGTGAGCCACTGCGCCCAGCCAATAGTCTTTTAACTTATATGTTATTACTCCAGTAAATTGCTTTGTGAGTTTTTAGGTTGTCTCATAAAATAATGATTATTAATTTTTATTTAATCTTTGGAATCTTGAAAGTGATTCATTGAAATAGGAATTTTGATAATAACCCTAGCACTGAAGACATTATTTATAATTTTATCTTTGTTAAACCAATCACGATGACATACTTATATATATTGTTCTGTTCAGGAATCAGACAATTTGGGGCCAATGAAAAATAATCTAATAGTTTATATTTGGAAGAAATACTGAGTTAGTGAAGGGAAATCTCCTGTAGGTAGTTAACTTAGTTGTGGAATATTTAGCAAAGGGTGCTGTGTGGAATTCCTCATTAAGAACATTTCTCTTTAATTTCTGCTACAAGATGATGTGTAATGAAAAGTTGTTGGTGAAATTTGTGCATCATCATGTAGGACTTGGCTAATTCCTGAATGGAAATATACAGCCCTTGCAAATATTTATTTGTTTTAACATTATTGTGATTATCAGTCTAGGTCTGATGTATTTTCTTTGTGGCTGCTTGGCAGTTTGGTTCATCAGCTACAAAGTAAGCCATAGGAAGGCAGTGACAATATTTGTTTTACTCACCGTAGTACCCCCAGAGTCTTGTCCATTGCCTACCTTATATACTAGGATATATTTCTTGAAGGGATATAGACACATTTTATTCATGTAGAATTTATAGAGTTTTGAGTTACCTATACACAGAAGAAAAATAATAGATACTTATGCTAAGTATTGTAGGAGATATACTTTTTTTCCTTTTAAACTTTACAACTAATTAGCTTTCCTGTTCATGGGGACTCTGGAAAAAGCCATCTATTTTCAGTCGTAGTGCTTTCCCTTTGGCCAAAGTAGAGCAGAATTAGATTTTAATAAATCATGATTTTATAGTATGGTTGTTTACTGGCGTATCATTTATAGAGTATGGCTTCCAGACAATGATGACATCGTTTCATTTAAAAAGGGCTAGTTTTTCCCTGAAAGTTGTATTTTTAATTACACTGTAGAAAATTTGCAGATACTTTATATATTTATGTATTTGCCTCTTCCTATCTGCTTGTTCCAAAAGGAAGACATTCTACCTTGTAAATGGCCTATGCTTACAATTTATTTTAAAAGAAATTTTAAGTTTTTGGAAGTACCCAAAGATATTTTTTAAAAACATTAGGTGATAGATAACTAAAACTAAATGGTAAGTTTAGCTAAATTCAGCAAACATTAGGTAACTGTAATGTATAAAGTATTGTGTTTGGTGGACATGAGAGAAAGATGACAAAAACTTGATATTTCTATTCCTGGGGCTTGTATACCATTAGCTGACTCAGATAAATTCATAAATAAGTATAACGCAAAGCAGACAATAAAAAGTACTATGGTATAGGCATCAACAAAGTGGGAAATTAGGATAGAGAGATTAATCCTGACTGGGAGGATCAAGGAAGTTCTCATGGAATAGATAGGTTTTGAGTAGAACTTAATTTATTGCTTTCATTCATTCTAGACTGTCTTCTGAAGATTGATGTCTATTTCCTTGAGCTCTTTAATTTTGTTGCCAATTTGGATAAACATGGCACAAATCCAGCAGGGAGGTCCAGATGAAAAAGAAAAGACTACCGCACTGAAAGGTACATACTTAATTTGCTTTTTCAGGAAATTTTCATTGTGCCTAATAAAGGTGTAGGAATATTTAGGTGACCTTCCATTCATTTGAAATCTAAAATAAGAATATGAGTACCAATTTTTTATATCCCTCACAGCAACTATTACTGCATCTGAGATGTATGTACTCAGTAAATAAATCACAGGATCATGTAATTTTGCATCTATAAGAATCTTAATGCTTTTCTTATTCAATGTTATACACTTAATAACAAAACTAATAAGTGTTTTGAATCAAGGCTGGTGCCTTTACCTTATGTTTTCTGCTTGGAATATCATACTGGATGAGGGTAATGATCCGTCTGTTTCTGTATTCTGCCTTTATGGCATTGCATTACTGATATTTTATGAGAGGTTTATCCATATTAATGTTTTAGAAGGAATCTGCGTTAGACATTGTTAGGGAATTTTGAATCCTAGAATTAAAAAAATAAATCTGCTATCTAAATTAATTCGACTTCTAAAAGAAGTATCTGTTATTGAATTGTGAGATAGCTATGGGCACTGAGAACTTTAGGGTCAGGAAGCTGAGGAGAAAGTAGCAAATGAGGCTGAAAAGTAATTTTTAGTAAAATAGGTAAAGAATCAGGAACAAGAGAGAGCTCCTGAACAGCAAATGAAAAAATTAAATGGGAGTAATTAATTATAGTCATATCTGGTGATGGGTAAGATTAGATGAGAACTGAGAATTTACTTCTGCATTTGACGATGTGGTGATCATTGGTGACTTTCACAAAGAGCTGTTTCAATAACTAGAAATGAAAGCCTGGTTGGAGAACTTTCAGCAGAGAATGGAAAGGGAGGAATTGGAGACAGTTGTAAACAACCCTATAGAAGATTTTACTACATGCTTGTATGTTGTTGGAAAGGATCCAGAACACTCAGAATAATGGACAATTTAGGAGTGAGGGCAAAGAATATATGTCACAGTTTCCATCTAAATAGACATGCTGGGTTTCCACCTAGACAGATTTTGTGCATGTTCAGCCTTAATGTGAAAATTTGATCTCCCAAGTTGTAGTTCTAATTTATACTCTTGCAAGCAGTATGTGAGGTCAGATTGATTTTCTGGATTTTAGAGGTCTTATTGTGATGTTAAAAGAGTAGATCGGTTCTAGAGATAGAACTATCTGGATTCAAATTCAAGGTTTTCCTTCTTACCATGGGCAAATTGCTTAACTTCTCTGAATCTCTTCATCTGTACTATGGGAATAATAATGCTGGGTACAGATAGGGGTGTAAGGGTTAATGGAGGAGTAAACTGGAAATATTAGAAAATAAAATGGCAAATGCATAGTATATTTCAGAACAACTTAGCGAACTGATTTGTTCTAAACTTTATCCCTTTAACAGGAAGACAGTTTTATTCTTGAGTTTATTCAAAACTGGGCTATGATATGTAAAACAGTGAACTAATAATGATCACTCTGCTGTTCATTAGAGGATTTCAGGTTTACATGGCAAGATGCACTCTTGGAGGTGATTGAACTTTCTGCTAATTGAAAAGTGCTTCAGACAAGGCATAGATGGTGGAAAAATCTCATAAAATTGTATTAGCGGTGAGAAAAATGTCAGGTAAAACTCAAGATAAGTAGGGTTAAAGCAGTGCATGCTGGAAGAAAGTAGTTTGAATTAGTTTGCTGTAATAATGGTGATAATGAAGATGATAAGGAAGATGGTGATGACTATTATAATTAAAGGAAGGCATATTATGCACAAGAAAGTTATGTCATCTCTTTTGGAGATGGCAATGAAGATATGCTTATAAAGAATTCTTGCATGTCTTAAAAATATTACTTTTTCCCTTTGCCAGTTTTACAGGGTTTTAGTTTATCTACTGCCTCTTATTGATTTGCTGACCCATTTTACCTGGATTTCTGAAAATATGTTCTGTATCTAGTTCTCTTAGTTCATATGTGTTAGTTTTTATTTACCACCACCCTCTAACCTCAGGCCCCTTCAAAAATGCCTACATTTTGCCATAGTGCCTTTATTAAAAATTATTCTGGACACTAATGTTGAGTTATTATGATCATTATTTGTGATAGCCTAATGGTAACATCTTATATGGCTAATAGTACATCAAAACCAAGACATTCTTATTGGTACAGTACTGGTAACTAAAACACGGTCATTATCCAATTTTCATTAGGTTTCACATGCAGTAATTTGTGTGTGTGTGTGTGTGTGTGTGTGTATGTGTGTGTTTGGAGTTCTGTGCAGTTTGATCCTCTGTATTGCCTTGTGCAACAATGACCACAAACAAAGATACAGAAGTGTTCTACCACTAGCAAGTCCGTTCTGCTACCCATTTGTAGGAATGTCCCCAACTGCCAGCTTCATCTCTGTCTCCTGGCAATCACTAATCTGTTCTCCATCCCTTTTGTCATTTTGTAGATGTTATAGAAATGGAATCATAAGGTATGCAACTTTTTGAGATTGGCTTACTTCAATAAGCATAATGCCTTTGAGATCCATCCAAGTTTTTGTAAATATCAGTAGTTCATTCGTGTTTATTGCCGATGAGTAATATTCTATTGTCTAGATATGCCATTTTGTTTAACCATTAACCCATTGTAGGGCATTTGGATTGATTCCAGTTTTTGATTATTAGAAATAAATTTACTGTGTATATTCATGTATAAGTTTTTATATGAATGTAAGTTTTCATATCTTTAGGTTAAATGCCCAAGAATGTGATTGCTGGGTCATATGGTAAATGCATTTCTAACTTTATAAGATAATACCAAACTATTTTCCAGAGTGGCTGTACCATTTTATATTCCCACCAGTCATGTATGAAAGACCCACTTTCTCTACATCCTCCTCAGCATTTGGTATTATTACTATGTTTTAGTTTTAGCCATTTTATTAGGTACATAGTGATATCTCACTAGTGATGTTGACCATACATCTTTTCATGTGCTTATTTGCCATCTGTACCTTGTCGCTGGTAAAATACCTATTCATATTTTTTGTCCATTTTCTAAATGGATTTTTTAAAACTACTGAGCTTTGATCTTTATATTTTCTAGATACAAGTCTCTATTGAATATATTCTTTATGAATATTTTCTCTCAGTCTGTAGCTTGTCTTTCACCCTCTTAACAGATCTTTCGTAGGGCAAACATTTTTAATTCTGATGCAGTCCTGTTCATAATTTTTTTTCTTTCATAAACTGTGCATTTAGTGTCATGTCAAAGAACTCTTTCCCTAGCCAGCCGTAGTTTTTGAAGGTTTTCTCCTATGCATTCTTCTAAAAGTTTTGTTTTATATTTCACATTTAAATTAATGATCTATTTTCAGTTAATTTTTAAACATGTGTTAGTAGGTTTCGTTTCATTGCTGAATTTTATTCTGTTGAATAAACTACATTTTACTTATCCATTTGCCACATTTTAGATATTTGTGTTGTTTCCAGGGTTGGGTGATTATGAATACAGTCTTTGAAAACATTCATCAACAGGTTTTTATGTGGATGTGTATTTTCATTTGTCCTGGGTTGATATCTAGGAGGAGGACTGCTGGGTAATATGGTATGTCTACGGTAACTTCGTAAGAACTAGAAAACCACTTTTCAAGGTACCTGTATTATTTTTCACTACCACCAATAATGTATGAGGGTTCTCTTAGTTTGTCATCTTTATCAGCAATTAATATTGACAGGTTTGTTGACTTTTCTTCTCATTGTCACAGATTTTTGTTTCTATGTGGTTTTAATTTGCATTTTCCTAGTGGTGAATTATATACCATATATACATCTTTCTTGGTAAAGTCTAGAATTTTGCCCCCCTTTTTTTGTTTGTGTTCTTATTGTTGAGTTTTAAAAGTTGTTCGTATGTTCTGGATACAACTTCTTTTTAAGATATGTGATTAGTAAACATTACCAGTCTTTGGATTGTCTTTTCATTCTCTTTGTTTTATTGATATGTATTTGTACATACTTAGGGGTACATGTGATGTTTTGTTATATGCATAGAATGTGTAATGATCAAGTTAGGATATTTCCATTATCCATTGCTCCAAATGTTTATGATTTCTATGTGTTGGGAACATTTTAAGTCCTCTCTTTTAGCTATCTCTTGAAATACATAATACTTTTGTTCATTTTAATCACCCTATATGCTATTGAACCTTAGAACTTATACCTTTTATCTAACTGCATGTTTCTACCCATTAAACAAACTCTCTTCATTGTTTCCTCCTGTGCACCATCACCCACATACTTCTCTGATAGCTATCATTCTGCTTCCTACTTCCATGAGATCAACTTTTTTAGCTCTCACATATGAGTGAGAACATGCACTGTGTGTCTTTCTGTACCTGACTTATTTCACTTAACACAATAACTTCCAGCTGCATCTACCTTGCTGAATAAATGACATGAATAAAATGACATGATTTTATTCTTATGGATGTATAGTATTCCTTTTTGTATATATACCACATTTTTTATGGTCAAATAGTATTCCATTGTGTATATTATATCACATTTTCTTTATCCATTCATCTATTGATGGACACTTAGGTTGATTCCATATCTTTGCTATTGTGAATAATGCTGCAATAAACATGCAATGCAATTATCCTTTAGATATTCTGATTCCTTTTCTGTGAATACATACCCAGTAATGCAAATGCTGGCTTGTATGGTAGTTCCATTTGTAGTATTTTGAGAAATGCCCAAACTGTTTTCCAAGGAGGTTGTACAAATTTACATTCTTAACAACAGTGTATAAGAATTCCCTTTTCTCGACAGCCTCATCAGCTTCTGTTATTTTTTGTCTTTTTAGTAATAGCCATTCTAAGCGGGGTGAGAGGATATCTAATTGTGGTTTTAATTTGCATTTCTCTGATGATTAGTGAAACTGAGCATTTTTTAACATACCAATTGACCATTTGTATGCCTTCTTTTTAGAAATGTTTATTTATGTCCTTTGCCCACTTTTTAATGGGATTATTTTTT